CCTTCCGCTAAAAGGGCTGATCACAGTGATTGGTTTATCTTCTTGTCAGAAGTCTTTTATCAGTTGATAAATGATTTAACTCTAAAGTGTTTGCAGGGGCCCCATGAATATTAGACTCATGTCCTGTCATCTAAGGTTTGTGGCACCAGTTCTGAAAACATGGTCATGTATGCCAAGGGTTACTTCTGAAGTTTCAGGATGTACTTCTACATAACATTTTATGTAGTTGCTGGGGAAGAGCAAAGAGGAAATACTATAGAATGTCACTTTAGTGACAGCTTCGAGTCTGCTGAGGCTGTTGACATTACACCCAAGATGGTGGCGCCCAGCAGCAGTTTCAGGGCTCTTGGATGTCTGCATAAAGGAAGCTTTTAAATAGGAAGGTAAAGCCTGGTATACACACTTTGAATTTCAGACGGTTCTCAATGAACCAGCTGAAATTCCAAGCGCGAGTGCCGATGTCGTCACCTTTTTGACTGGCATCCCTCGATCAGCTGATTGAAGGAGCATGTTGAAAAATTCTCAGCTCAGCAGAGTGAGCAGCCAACAAGCTGCTCGCTCTGTTGGTATATGCTGACAGCAAACCGGCACCCGCTGTCAGAATGCAATGTAAACAGCAGGAGATTCCTCGATCAACTCGTAAGCGTTAATAGAGGAATCATTTCTATTTTCTTCTTTTAGCTGGCAGGTTGAACGAAGAAAATAAAAATGTGTATACCCAACTTAAATAGTATGTCTAAGTGACATTAAATGCACATAAATTCTTATGGGAAGATTATTGTTGAATTAAATGTTCTGGCAACAGGGTCTCTTTAAAGCTAGAAATCACTAGTTTGTAGACACTTTAACACTGTTTACAAGTTGCTATCAAAATGGGAGTCTTCCTCTATCGTTTAGTTGCCAGTTCTCTAATTTGCAACAATCTGTGTGTTCTCTGTGTGTAGCTGTACCAGAACCACCGGTCCATAAAGAACCTAATCATGGGACTCTGCCAAGGAAGAGATAAATGGGAAATTATGCCCTATAACACCCTTCACATCTTACCCTTAATTAACGCACTTTGGACCTGGTAGTAATCAGCATTTGAATTGAGAAAGATGAGGCTATGAGGCTTATGATTCAAATTCGCTACAAATTCTCAATGCAAACTCATTTTTTAAAATTATTAATTGCTGAGACTTCAAACTGAAATCGCCGCTTGTGATTAAAAAAATCTCTTTGTAATCAAAGTGTATTCTGCTTTGAAAGCAAACATTGTGGGGTTGTTTTAAGTGGAGCCTGTAATCATTGTACACATCCAGACGGCTTATAGAAACTCTTTGATTCTCCCATCTGCCGAGCGTGTGTCCAGCTTGTCACTCTGTTCATGAGACAGTGTGTGTAAAGGGAAGGGGGGTCGCTGACTTCACACCTCCTCCTCCTCTTCTCTGTCTCCTCTTTCTAATGGTACTTTAAATATTTGCTTAGATCCAGAGCAGTTATGTACAGAATGTGGACTGTCAAGTTTTATCAGATAATGTGGACAAAAGGAATAGATAAGTCCCTGCAGTGGTAATTCAAGAAATCCCTGCAACCCCCACTATTCCCGTCTCTGCTGGATAGACCCTCATTTTAATCTGCAGATCATACCTTGAGCTGCCTACGTACATTATACATTGGCTTGCCATGCATATATGGGCTCTACTTGAATGCCTGCACCATAATAATGACTGAATGAGTGGCTACATTTGCATGCTTGCACCATAATAATGACTGGATGAGAAGGTCCATCCCTTCTGATCACCTTTTCCCGCCAAACTCAGCCAAGGGATCTTTAGCAAGGGGCCTACAAATATAGCAAATGCAAAGTTTTGGCTGTTCTGTCTAGTGACTCTCTGGCCTGCAACAAACATGCATGCTTCTCTTGGTCGCTGATTCATTAGCTGGTGTATCATGGTCCAAGATGACCATCATCACGCTAACGGCTTGGTTCCCTAATTATGTTTCTGTTGTACAGTAAAGATACACCCACTGGAAAACTTTAACTATCATTTGGATATTTGGCTTTGTAATAATTATGGGAGAAGGGACGACCTGGAAATCCCTGAGATATAGTGTGATGGTGATCCACCCTGCCATACAAGATGGGATCCATGGTGGCTGTCATCAGTAGTTTTTTTTTTCCATCACAGCTGTATGGCAAGTCTCTTTTAGCTTTTGAATGGTCATTAAGCAGCTAGGACAAATCTCATTGTTGTTCTTCACCTACATGGGACTTTTTTTCCAAAGCAGCCTTCTTGTGTCCTTGACAAATGTCAAAGAGTGTTAGATTTTTCATCACTTGCACTCAAGACAATATCCGAGCTGTGTGTGTCACAGGGACGGAGCTAGTGTTCTCTAGCTGAGGGCAATATCACTAGAGAGTGTTGCAGGAAGCTGACAGCTGGTGCCTTTGTCCCCTCCCTGTGGTTGTGTGTCCTAGAACAGATGTTGTATCATCTGAGCCCACATTCTCTGACTCTAGTACAACTGTGTATGCACACAGTGTTTTTAGCGTTAGGGTGCCCAGAAACAGTCAGATGAGTGCACTCTGTATACAGTTCAACTGCAGTTGTATGACTGTGTTGTCTGCATTAAGCTTTTTATTTTTTCCATGTTACTTTAATTTCCAAATTTATTCGGACTAAACTAAAATAATGTTCTTTTTTTTGAAAGAAGATACCCTTATCCTGATGCTAAAGCTTTGTAAATGGAGCCAAGTGTGCGAAAACGATTGGGAGCAATCCCAGCAAACATCAAAACGTTGACCGATTAGGTAGAGATAAGCCAATGCTATTGATGAGTTAGCAGCTGGGGCCTCAGGGAACAAATTATTGCAAACTTGAGAAGTCAGTCAATCAGATGTAAGGCTGGCTGGGTAAGGGCCAATTTATTAGAAGAGTTGATGAAGAATTTGTAAAAATGATTTATATGAATGCTCATATTTTTGAACAATGTTTGCTCCTTATACCATTTTAAGCTGATGTGGTTGTTGATTGACCACTTTTAAATAGTAAGGAATATCTTGCGGATTGTAAATGCCCAGTACTTTACATTTTCTAAGGTATTGATTATATTTGTCAATGGTCATCTACATAGTTTAAAAGTCATTATGATCAATATATCTAATTTGTGTTGAATGTCAGTGATTATTTTTGTATCTGGAACGTTGTTGGCTCAACTCAAGAGACAATATGCAGTCATAAAGAAAACTTTGTAATAGGGGATGGGTGGATCTAAAAATCTGGTTGAACCTTTTGTCTATGGTCATTGTAAACCCGACAAATGCTGTAATGACCACAGCATTTGGACAAATCTGAGAATTCTGGTGGTGATATTTCATTCCTACAGTTTGCAGGAGGATGTGATTGAAATTCCCAGAAATCATGCAAAACTGAGATATCCGTTTTGGATTGGGTGATAGTAAGATGGTAACTGCACCCACCACTGTGCCACAGTGTTTACATTCCCAGTTGTTAAGCATATCTAAACTCAATAACAAAAATGTGATTCTGACAGTAACACACTTCTTGCCCTAGGGTGAAAAGCACACTGTAATGTAACTCTGGAGGAGCCATGTTGTCACCCTTTCACAGGAAGTGTGTTAGGGCTACAGAACACTTTAACAACTCATCTCCATAACATAGGGGGAGGTGTTCTTTAGTCCACAGGGAGAACTGGAAACAATGTAACGCATAACAGTGCAGCAGAGGCAGAGAGCACAGGAAGTGTGTTAGGGCTACACAACACCTTAACAACTCCTCATCTCCATAAAATAGTGGGAGGTGTTCTTTAGTCCACAGGGAGAACTGGAAACAATGTAACACATAACAGTGCAGCAGAGAGCACAGGAAGTTGTAAGCTCAATAGATTTTTCATAGGATCAACTGGTATTGTTTTGTTTTAGAAAATAAATCACTTTGAATAAAATATACAACAGACCAAAAGAAAACAATTGAGAGGTTTATTGTTAGGGTTTACAAACACTTTAAGGTGCTAGTCCCACATTTCAACTGGCTGATGCATCATGTTCATGATCTCCTCATACTGTTATCAAGCCTACAATGGTCGGTGGACAGACATCATATCATGTTTTCATGACTCTCCCAGACCCCATAATTGACTGACTGACTGACAACCTGTTTGATACTGTTCTGCCTCTTGTTGTAAGAAGACTATTTGGCAATGCTCCATTTGATGTTTGGGTCAACAAATAAGGTTGGCCACACATGGCTTGAATTTTGGCCGATTTCCTGTGATTTGGCTGAAATTCAAGTTGGGTGGCCCTCCGTCACGATAAACTTCAAATGAAAAAAATCTAAGGAGCCAGGCGGAAAAAAAAGTCGGGAGAACAGTGACTGTAGCCAGTCAAATATTGTGGCAATGATAGATGTCAACTTAATACAGTAGCCAGCAGGAGAGATTCTGCTCTCCACACTCTTTAGTGTAGATGGGAGGAATCAAATAATTTTTCTTGTTTCAACCCAGAAGCCTTTAGGTGTATGGCCAGCTTTAGTTGTGCTTCTGACATCTAAGATGTCTCCTCTTTGTGGTTCCTTGAAAGGCATATAACACAGATTGATGCAACAGATATGTTTTTGTGTGTTGAAGCACATTGTGTTTGGTAGCCCATTCATTTCAAATAGGTTGTCAACACACAAATAAAAAGGCCCGGTGTGATTTTGTGTGTTGTGGTGCGCTTTAGTGAACTGTAGATGTGTGTTGGGGGTTGACAATCAATGGCATGATCATTGCTATGTGTTACCATAACATGCATTATAACCTTGTGCTGTAGTGTTAATGAGAACGTATTCTTCTCACACATTCTTCTTCTCACACATTCTTGTATCTCCTACATTGAGCTGTACCCGAGCTTTGTTGGTGATCATCTAGCTATTGTGTTGGCCATCTTTTCATTTACGTGTAATAAAACTTGAATCAAGGCAAACTATTGCTAACAGATTGAATTCTTTTTTTTCTAGGCACAACACGTCTGCCTAGAGAAGGGGAGATCCCTGGCGTGGACTACCAGTTTCTGACTGTACAGGAGTTTTTGGCTCTTGAACAGAGTGGAACTCTACTTGAAGTTGGGACATATGAAGGTAAGCTTGTCTATGTATATGTGTGCCAGCACAGCTGGCTTCCTTTCACCTTAGGTTATTTGTGATGCTGTCCCTAGCTCAGCACAGTTGGGCAAGGCAGCACCAAGCTTCAACATTTTCAAAATGTGGCTTATTTCTACATTTTGGCTTCCCCTTGTTTGACCACTCTTAAACATTTGTTGGAATATGGTGAGGTTTTGTTCATGTACGCACCTATAACATCATTGCAACAGTTATTCTGATAAAAGAGCTGGAGCTTGCAAAATCAGGTTCATATGATGGTGGTGGTGGGGGGGGGCAAAAGAAAGAGAGGAGGAGAAAAACCAACTCTTCTTAATGCTAAAAGGATTTAATTGCTTACAAAATATTTGGTAAACACAATGTTTTACTCTTTTACTTGGACCATTCTTTTTTTTTTTTGAAAAATTATTTTTATTAAAGTTTTATGTTACAAGTAACAACAGTTAACAACATTCGCACTCACAGCCGTGAGAGCACACATAGAATGCAACAGAACAACTCTGTACAACCCCTTACTAACCACGGGGAGTACTTGTATAAACATCAACATACCCCCCCCCCCGAGCAGCAGCATATCACATGGCATTACATATTGTACCGTACAACATAATGAACATTTTCAGGGGTAACTTATACAGAGCATCCCATCTCCCCACATGTATTTGACCCCATCACCGTCTCATGGAATATGCCTATCTACTTCAGTAGCATGCTCCTGTACCGAGTCCTCCACCCCAGACACCCGCGCCTCCGCCTGGGACATCCTGCCCCGAATTTTGTCCAGATCATGTCTGATCAATGTGCACTCCACCGCCAGATGGTCTATTTTGGCTGTGAGGGCGATTTTACAGCCCTCTATGGCCTCCAGGATAGCTGTTGTCTCAGCCCTCTCCTTACTTGTGGTCGGTGGGGAGACAGGCTGCTCCGGAGGGGCCAGCGCCACCTCAGCAGCGTCTGCAGCTACTCCCTCCATGCACAAGGTCCGGTGTGAGCACTCACAGGGAGCAATGGACGGCGGCAAGATGGCGGCGGCGGGACACGAGGCCGCACGCTGGGATCTCCTCCAGCCACCTTTCGGGGTATTACCTCGCTTGCCAGACCTAGAGGGCATATCCCCCTGCTCCGGACATCCACCGGAGCTCGGGTGTGAAGAACAGGAACCGAGTCTGCAGGATTAAAGCCGGATGAAGCTCAGTGTGGCGGCGGAGCTCCCTCAGACACGTCCGCTCTGCTTCACATCTCGGCCACGCCCCCTACTTGGACCATTCTTAAGCACATAAAAAATCTCTATGTTTAAAGATCTATCTTATTATTTATACATGATATGATATTAATTATGCAAACCCAAGTACAAAGGTAAACCACACTATAATAACAAGGAAATAAAATCCACTTTATATATATATCAGTTGCATAAATCCTGCAGATCAATCATCTTACGCTTTGTATGCAAATCGTCTTGATAGTTCACTGTAGCCAATGAAAGACAGTTTATGGATCTTCCAGAAACCTATCAATAATAATCCAGTTTTTATACTGATTATTCCAACATTGCACAAAACCGAGCAAACCCACCTAATATATGAAGAACAGCATCATGTTTTGGTGCAGGTGATGCTTTTAAAATTGAGTATGCAGTATGTTGGTGTTTAAAGGGGGTCTGTTTATGATGTTTTGTGAACATGATGAGCTCATTGGAAATTACTTTGTTAGTGTGTGTTATTATTGAAAAGGGCCTGTTTCTTTGTGTGGTTTGTAACTATAGATGTACATTGGGGGCAGCCATATTGGCTCAAGGGTCTGCTTTTGGGGCTCTGCTCTCTTAATCATTGGCTCTGCTTTTTGGCTGTATCTTGCAGAGCCTCTTGTTTAACTGCAAGTCTACCAGTCAGGATCAGTCTGATCGAAAACAATAGACTCTCTTCAGCATTCTAATTACTCAAAAACTCAATGGACCTATGTCTTTTTTTCAACCTTACCTACTATGTAAAATGCCTGCAATGCTCCTGGTAGTCAGAGACCATGTGTTCCCTTTTTATTTTCCTTTCATAGCAAGAAAGAAATGTTTTTTTGCTTGAAATAATACTGTGATTTAGCCATTGTGATGTTTGGCTTATTGATGAGACGTGTGGATTTTAATTTAATGATAACACCGGAGATTGTTGAGCCAGGAAATACCTGATCAAAGGGTATTTTCTTTAACCTGTTGGACCGCCATGCTTTAGAAGATATTTTTTTGCCTCCTTCAGGGCCCGTTCACACCAGATCCGGGCCAGAACGCACTGCCTCGCATAGCGGCCAGCTCACTTTTTTGTAGGGCAGGAGGGGGCGTGGCGGGCCATTGAATTAAATGGCATCTAGTCATACCCTTCGGCCGCACGGGATCACAAGGCACATTATGCCTGCAGTCCGGTCCAATCAAAATGCTGCATTATTTTGCTTGCACCAGACCGCAGGCATAATGTGCCTTGTGATCCCGTGCGGCTAATCGCATTTCGGCCGGAAGGCCGTGGCTACGGTGCCCCCTCCTTCCCCACAAAAAAGTGAGCCGGCTGCAATGCGAGGTAGTGCACTGCATCTGGTGTGAACGGGCCCTTAGATCAACTATGGACCTATGGTTGTGATTTATGGAGGTTTTCTATGTATTTATTTATTTTTTTCCCCTCTCTTGGTTTAACTAGATGGACTTGTGTCTTTTTCAACCTGATTAAAGAAGAAGTCTGGGGATAACTTTTATTAACCCTTGCAGTGGGGCTACCCCCGCACCGCAAGGGTTAACTGCTTATTTTTGTCTAGGTACAAAAAAAAAAAGTTATACTCACCCGATCCTCCAAGCTAGCTTGTTCTTAAACCAGTGCTTGCAGCCTCTCTCCCCGTCCTCTGCAGCAGTCTAAGGCCCCGAAAAATCATAATTTCTATACCCAGTGTGCTGTAGATAGCCACACACATAATAGGCTTGTGTTAGTTCAAGGGTCTGTTCATACTTTGTGGGTTGGTCTGTCCTAATGCATAGACTATCTGCTTTGTTTCCTAATAAATCATTTCTCATGGCATTGCAATGGTGTGCACTGAAAGAAGGTATACGACATACAGTACAGACAGTCCCCGAGTTACGTACATCCGACTTACATACGACTCCTACTTACAAACGGAGGCTATTACTGTATAGGGGTAGTTGTAATGCTACCGTGCTCGTGCCGACGAGGAGTGCCCGCCTTTTTGGGTCTGGTTTGTAGTACTGTATGTACATGGCAGGAAGTTGGCTCTTGTTAGATGTGCAGAAGAGGGGTGCCCCCCTCTTCTTCTGGGTCACTGTGAGGTGTTTACTGCTGTCTGTATCCTCATTAGAAAGATGTAATCTCACGTCCTGTCCTTGAGGAAGTGAGAGGAAATCTACCCCTAGGAAGGGAAATTTACTCCTGTAAGAGTGATCATGGGAAAAAGGTGTCTCCACTGAAGCTTTATCACCAATCCTTGTTGCCAACACAACCCAAAAGTTTCAAAATCCAATTGTCACAGCGACACAAAGTGAGATGAAATCACCTGAACAGGGGCACACACAGCAAAACAGACTTTACAGGGGGTTAACTATTCCCTGTTCCAACTTGCATACAAATTCAACATAAGAACAAACCTACTGTCCCTATCTTGTTACTGCCGGTTACTGCCTGTACGTATTTCACCGCATCTTGTTGCAATGCAATACACTGCAAGCTGGCAAGAGGAACCACAGTATGCCACAGGAGGACAGTAGCAATGTTGAAAACCTGCAGTGGCCTGATCTGCTGTGAGTTTTGTGCATATTGTACGTCAACTTTGCTGAAAGTATGCGGTATTGTTGTAAATTTTGTCAGTTTCTCAGTTCCAACTTATTTGTATAATACAGAAGAATACAGGGCGTCCTTCTGCCCGTGGGACTAAAGAAAGTAAAGGTAGTTTTCAATTAGTCTAATTCTATTCTGTCTATGCCTCGATTATTTTCTAGCTGCCTAATCTCTCATTAAGGTTTAGAAAGTATAAAGTATCTAGTATAGAATTTCCTTACAGGGTAATTCATGTTATAAAACGTATCTATTAAGGCTTCTTTGCGTGATAATTAAACCATTTGCAGACACTAGCAGTGTGTTAATTTGCTCTCAGAATTGCTCAGTGATTTGTCTGAAATAAGGTTCTGAAAGATTTGTCCATAGAAAGAAAAAATAAAAGAAAAAATTTAAACTTGTTTAAAGTGGATCCTTCAATTATAATAGAACCATTATTTATTATACAAAAACAAAAAAAAAAACAGCTATTGGTCTTTCCTTTATTATTATTATAGAGGATTTATATAGCGCCAACAGTTTGCGCAGCGCTTTACAATATAGGGAAGACATATAATTACTAGGGATGCACCGATACTGGTATTGATATCTGTGCCGATACCGAGTATTTGGGCGAGTTCTCGTACTCGCCCAAATGCTCCGATGCCTAGCCTGATACTTTCTGTATCAGGAAACTGGGCAGCGTGTAATGACGCGCTGCCCTGTTTCCTGATTGGTTGGGAAGCCGGCCAATCGGTTTCAGCTGGGTACCGGAGGAGGCCGCGGGGGTGACAGGCTGGACATGCCGAGATGAGAGGGGACAGAGATCCGCACTGGAGAGACATGCTGGATCATATGATTATTATTGGGATTCGTATGGGACTGCTTTCTTGTTAATCTGGAAGCCTTTATTATTATTATTATTCAGGATTTTTATAGCTTATATAGCAGTTTGCATATATATATAATATAGAGGCATGCGGTCTCTTTACACTTCAATTAAATCTGTCCTGAAAGAAATATGGAGGCTGCCATTGCTGACCTCTCCTTTTGAAAATAAGTGTCACACCGAATGGGAATTAAAACTTTACTTTGGTGTTACCTGCTGCATGCTGTTTCTGGTCACTGACCCACAAAGTATTGGTGGCATTGGGCCAGCATGACTGCCAGGTAACTACC